TCCCACAGGTGATGTGCTCCTCACGCTTGTCGCGTCGCCTGGCATGAATCTTGCCAACCCAACGTCGCTGATCTTACTGTTGTAGTTTTTGTCTAGCAGGATGTTGGAAGGCTTGAGGTCCCGGAGCACGATCGGCTGTGGCTTTGCCTTGTGGAGGAAGAGGAGCGCTGTGCCGACTTCCACCGCAATCTGGTACCTCGTGAGGCATGAGATTGGCGGCGAGTCGTCCTTGCAGAACAGTCGATCTTCCAAGCTCCCGTTTTCCAGGTACTCGTAGACAAGGCATTTCTTTTCCGGATTTCCGCCTAGCAGTAGAACGATGTGAGGATGGTGTAGTCGGCTCAGCACTTCCACCTTTATTTTCCCATGCTTGTTAGAGATTTTAGAAATTCGAGTGAGTTTACGTACCTCTTGTTCGAACTCTTGTGGTCCTTGCCAACTATCATGTCTTAGAACCTTGACTGCTACGTTGGTCCTGTGGAGAGTGCCTTTGTAGACGTGACCGTATGATCCCTCTCCTATTTTGTTGTTCTCAGAAAAGTTGTCTGTGATGTCTCGGAGTTCCTCAAACGTGAATTGTGTGTACTTGAGCAGTTGTTGCCTGTTGGCCTCTCTCTCAGCTTCTGCTTTACATTGGAGCTCTATCCTGTTTTCCATTTCCTTCCTTCTCCGGATTTCGTCCACCAGTGCTTTTTTCATCGAGTTGACAAGCGTGAGAGCTTCAGCACGCTTCTGCGATTCCTCATCTAATTTCTTTGCTGCGTTATACTCTCGCTGATTGTCCTCCTCGACCGCTCGCATCAATATTTCCGCCTGGAATGCCATGAAATCGTAAGACTTTTGACGATAGCATCTCCAGTTTACCCGTTTTAAAGCCCAATCAGCGTTCTCGCGAGCTTCCTGGCTCCGTAGTGTTTCAGCGTCGGCAGATTCTTTTGCTTTGTTTGCAGCCACGATGGCATTTTGTAACTGCTGCTTGAGCATGTTTATTTGCTCCAGATCTCCAGCCTGCACGAGAGAGTCAGAACAAAATGCTGTTCTTGTAAATCTAACCTTGGGATCCGCAGGCAGGGGCTCGCTGATGATACTACTGGGCGAAGACTCTGCGAATTCTTCTTCAGTGCGAAAGGCTGGTGGCACAACTTTTAGTTCCGGCGTTTGAGGTTGGTAGCTTCCTTCAGCGATCTCATCCTTACTGTCACTGCTTCGCATTGATAGGTGACTTTTCAGCGGAGAGGTCGATACCATGAGAATTTCGCGATTCAAAGCGTCAGCTTCCAGCCAGCTAGAGGATGGAGACGGAGATAAGGGGAAAATGAATTTGTCCGCCACACTCGGACGAGCAGGAGATGAATTTGTACGAGGGAATGAGTGCGGTGGTGAAGCATTCCTGAATGACGCCAATTTCGAGGATTTCGATATGCACTGCACAGTACAGTAATCTGGAGCATGTTTCCGAACGTAGTCTGAAACTCCCGACCTCAATCTCCTGATGAAAGGAACTAAAACCGTG